TCAACTACTTGGCTACTTTTAGGCAAAATGTAGTTCGCTATAACTACAACTACTGTTTTAAAAAAGTAGTCAAAAACTACTGGCTACTTGAAAATTGTAGTTCGCTACAGTAGCGAACTACAACTACTTCGCTACAACCCACCCTTGACTCACAGTAACATCACAAACATCATATTCACCTGAGTACATAACACCAGCACACACACAAATCATAACATGTCACTCACCATGTTTGGATATTTTCACGACACTTAATCTCCTCTTAATTTCACTGCTGTATGTCTTGAATCCAGAACAGTGCCGTAACAACGACGCATAAAAATTCCGGAAATTTATATCGACCGCGCCGTAAATGATCGGATTGAGACAGGAATTAAACCACTGAAAAAAGTAGGAATACTTCATGAGAATGTCAATATAAGGATAGTAGCCACCGTTTCCGTAATCTATCCAAATGAAGAGTACTTTCTCGGGTAGGTAACATAAGGCGAAGCTCGCTACGACGATGATTAAGACCCTAACGGTCTTTTTTATGTGGTCTTCGTCATTTGGTCCGAAGCATTCGGCCTTGGAAGTTTGAAGTTCGTAAACGATCCTCAAGTAAGCTGCTAAGATAACAACTAACGGGAGAAGGTACGAGAATATGAACAAGAATGCAGTATAGGCCTGTCTTTGTTTGTTGCTTGACCACTGCTCGGCACACGGGTATTTTTCTTGTATCTGTGCCCCGGAGACGTGCTCCGTATTGAGTTCGTACACGACCAACTCTGGCGACGCCGCGGCGAAGCTTAGGAACCAAACGAGGCCTAGTATTACCAATAGTTTGTTTCTCGTCAAACTTTGTTTAAACGGATAACAGATCGACCAGTACCGTTCGCATGTCAGCACTAGGAGTGTCAATATTGATGCACATAGACTAGCCACCAGTAGCGTGGGGATTACTTTGCATAGAAATGCACTAAATGGCCAATCACCGGACTCGTTATAAACTACGGTAAAAGGGATGACCAGAAGAGCTACGCTAAGGTCGGCAATGGCAAGGTTTAGTAAATAGTAGCCGTAATAATTCGTCTCAATGCTTCGGAGTTTACGATTTTTCATAATCACCATAATCACCACGATGTTGCCAATCACGGTTAAGATGAAGACGACAGCGTATAATGTGAGCCGGATTACCATCGATGCATAGGGCTCTGGCACGAGGGCTGTGTCTGTGTTGTTTGGTAGCGAACCGTTAGCCATTTTTTGGGAGATTTTCTTGCAATGAAGTTCCTTTGTAAAAGGACTGTTTACTTTGATAAGTTGATGCCCAGTTTTGTGTTTAATGCTTTACGATTCCTTCTTGTAATTACTCTTTTCCGATCCTGTATTCCTGTTATATCATTCAACCTATTTCTCAAACTTTCTCGCGAAACTTACTGAATTGGTTCAGTCTCAGAATCTTACTTTATCGAAGTCTTTTTATGCGATCCTCCTATTTTTTAGTTCAGGTTTCTTTATATGGCTTGGAATGAAGGCAGGTTTGCCAGTTCCTATTGAGTCCCTAATATTAGAAACGTTTCGAGTTTTTTCCGTTACTGAAGTCTTTGTTGACTGTCTGAACAGACTGTTGCTCTCTGCAGACTCTTGATTTATTGATTACCCTCTCAAGGTGCGGTGCAAATGTCTCAATAAACTACTCGTAATTCAGTGTTTGAAATATTTTGGCAAATTTCTCTTGCCCGATGTTGATTTAAATTTATTTTGTTCCCACCTGCTAAGAATCAGAATTTAATGCTTGCTAATCTTGCGTGTAGGTGGTGATTAATTGAGTTTGTTCTCAAAATTAAAGTTATGCCACGTAGCTTTCGTTCTCTTTTACGTCATATTTGCTTTGTTCACCGTCTTGCTGCAGTTTTGAAGATGAATAACTCTGCTTCTTTTTTTAATCTCTAGATATTTCCAAATCTCTAACAATTTCCTGTAAAAATTTGATAGCAGCTGGGTAAAGGTTTCGAAGGGAAGTCTTTCTTGGTATGCTGAGCTGTGTGTGGACTTGAGTTTTATATCGTTTCCTTTGCTTGTTTTCAATCAAACATTTTGGAGAATGTCTTTAACAGATTCACAATCGTGCTTCAAGGGTAAACAGGTTTCTTCTACAATAAGCAGTGAAATAAAACACTCGCGCGTGTTCTCAATTATAAGCTTCTTGTCTCTCCATTCTAATTCTTCCACAACAGCTGTATTTAAGAGGTAATAAGCTATTCAGTTATCGTGTAAATTACGTGAGTACCAAGAAAGCTATCTTCACAAAATCCTTGTTATACAATCCTCTCAATAAGGGATTCTGTTAACAGCTTTAAGATTTCGTGCAGTTCAACTTCGCAGTGTGCCTATTGTTTACCTTTCAATTTCCCCTCGTACATGGACCACCGTGGCTCTCTTTAAACATGCGACTCAACCCACAGAATTGATAATCGAATAATATATTTTCCTTATCTTTCCTTATCTCTGTTTATTGCCGTTCGTCTAGCCGCAAAGCCAGATTTGAAGTACGTTTCAAAATGATTTTCTCTGCATGTGCTCTGCAAAAAATGAAGACAATCATTTAGTGGATAATGTTGTTTATTTGGTCTCTGGGAAGACCTTTGTGTTGGGCATAATAAACTGTGGCTGCTGTTGTTTTGAACTGATAATATCAATGGTAATAAATCAATAACAACTCGACCGGTTCTCTTGAAGAATACATAATATGTTAGCTGAGATAACAAGTTATGGTCAAGGCGATCTTGTGTCGTGATTAAGTAAATTAGCGAGATTAGTTCTATATGGAGTGTGATTTATGCAGGTCTTAAAATATCTTTTACAGGGCCGTCGTGACTTTGAGTTGGTCGGCCATATGTATGATGATGTTGGATGACCTTCAGTTCAGTTTGGCTCGGAAATAAGTCTGAATGACACAAGTTAATATCAGCACAATGAACTAATTCAGGTCACTTTTTATACATTACTCTGATTCTCCTTTTAACACACGAGCCTCTATAGTCCTGGACTAGAGTACATTTTGATTTACGTTGGACAAAGCTACAGTTCGGTCGGATACCAATACACTCGCGTCGGACAAACAATAAACCTCAGTTTCACATAGGTCAGACAGAATGTCCAGTGGTTTCCTCTCTACGTCGGACAATTTCACGAATAGGTCGGACAATCAGACAATGCCTATGACCGACCGATATTTTAAGGCCTGGGAGAGGGGGTGTAGAAGCGTGGGCGGATAGGCAAGCACAAATGAATCATAGTGAGAATTGTACTATAGTGAACAAGAGCTATTCTTCGTCATTGTGAATAATACAATCATGTTCTTCAATGTGCGCTAACGCATACACATAACACATGCATGCATCTGGTATATCAAGTACACTCATGATCTACATAGAGAGTTTGTTTTTATCCATCAAGGTCCAGACACACTAGACGCGATTCGACAACGCGACGCGATTTTTTAGTTTTTGAAAGTTAATAAAACAGCCAATGGTAGCAAATTTTAAAAGATATGTAGACCAAATAACTCAAAATGTTGTAACGCTTCTAAACATTTGGAAAATTTAAACTAGGATTAAAGCTATGGGTCAATGAAAATCGAAAAATCGCGTCGCGTGGTCGAATCGCGTGCGGTGTGTCTGGACCTTTATCCGTCTTTCTTTAAGAGGTGGTTAATATATACTGTTTTATAAACCGTAAAATTTAAAATTTCCTACGCTATACTATACTAAAGCATTATACTTATAAAGTTTGCAACGCTACAAAGCATATATAGCTGTATAAGAGTAAAAAACTTCGAAATCCTAATTGCACAAGCTCGGTAATTTATTTGGAAAATATTCAGTTTTTTTTGGCTACCCAACTTTCAAATTAAATTATATCCTCCAGTATAACTGATATAAATATGCATGATTAAATATGAATCTATATATCAAGTGGTACCGAAACAATAGCTCAATCCAACTTTTTCTAATTGTGGTAGTATTAAAGCATCTTATGATATTGTTTTTTGCATGGATTAAGCATACTTCAACAAGTTGAAGCGCTTTGTTTAGCATTGGTAATTTTTTTTTTGCGTTTAACCCACATTCATGATTAAACGTAATTACATTGAGGAGTTTATTAGACAATCGCAAATTTAATTTCGTAGTACTGAACTTTTCATTAATTAAATTTGTGGTTAAATACTTATCCTGAACCATCAAATTATCTCAAACAAATTTAATAACAAGACGAAAACCGCATTTCAGCATCGAGTATATTGACTCTTTGTATTATACTGCACGAATACAAGTCAGTTATAGCCAGCCTCGTACCCAGGCGCAAATAACGTACTAAAAATAGCAACACTACAGTGTTTTTATATAGATCAGTGGCTAAGAGAGCGAGCGCGCGGGGGTGCTAGGTCAGGTCACGACGGGATTAAGTCCTCCCTAAGCACCCCCGCGCGCTCGCTCAGCCACTGATCTATATAAAAAAAACTGTAGTGTTGCTGTTTTTTAGTACGTTATTTGCGCCTGGGTACGAGGCTGAGTTATAGCTATAAGCTATATAGAAGGTTAAGGTTTGACGACTTTTCTGTGTATACTAAACTCGTGTTAAATCGTTTTCCGGAGACGACAGTTTCTTCACTGAGATTGCTGAAGTTGTCTATTTATAACTTACTTCGGACTTGTATAGATTACATATTTTAGTGTTAAATTTGTAGTTAAAAGCATTGGAACAGCGATAGCACGTAATTGTCCTAATTCTGTATACCACGCAGTTAAATTCAATTGTACGCCTTCGACCTAATACATCCAAGCTGCATCGCTATTATTGTGTCAACAAATTAGCGTGAGAACACATGCGCATCAATGAGGATCGCTATATCTAAAGACATATAAAAGCATGGTAATAAATCACCGATTTATAGTCCGTCAATTTCCTATCTTAAATAAACTCATCTTGCCCCAATGGAGCTATTACAACAGCGTGCGAGCGAACTGATTAAGGTAGTATAACGTTCTTGAATGTAGAATTCCCTTAAGTGGTCTGATGTTATCTCTGAGTTTAAGTTGGATCATGCAGAGGTAGTAACTCATGTGAATAGAGCTTTAACTTAAAGGTCTCTCTGAGTTGAGCATGATTAGATCATGCAGAAGTAGTGCATGTTTTTGATGTTGTATACAGACCTCACTGCTGCATGTCTTAACCATGATGGTTAGAGGTAGAAACATAAGCTAATCAACTGAATTTCTGTCTCAATAATTCCCTCGTATCAACAGTTCCAAGGTGTGTAGCTAAAAATAACATTTTAATTTGTAAAGAATCGTTTGTTTGCTATCTGAACCCGCCTTTAATGAGACTAACCCCTGGGCTCACTGTGTAAGTTCTTAAACTTAATTTCCTCACCCTTAGATATCGCGTAGTTTAAACAAATCTCCCTGTTGGATGAATGCAATGAATAAACCCCTTACGTAGCTTTCTTTTTTTTTGCTTTGAACTTTAATCCTTTCATGAGCCGAGGCTATCTACAGTATGCGTCTAGGATTCTTTTAGTTTCTCTTGCGCACAGCCGTGAACGATGAGCAACGAGAGACTATGCTGCAGATTAACTCAGTAAACTTGGAGAGAACACTAGATAGACACTTAACTTTACTCATCAGAAGATCTCTTAAAGGTGGTCTACATTGAAGACTACCTCTGCATCATAATCTAAACATGCTCAACTCAGAGTGCCCCATGACTTAACTCTACTCATGCACATGCATGTCATGTTCTGTGCAACATCAGATCACTCTAAGACTCTCTAAGGTAACCCACATTCAAGGACATGTACTACATCTGCATGATCTAACTATACTTAACTCAGAGGGACTTAACTCTATTTACATGCATAAAATCAGATCACTTTAAGGTAGCCCACATTCAAGAACATGTACTACATCTGCATGATCTAACTATGCTTAACTCAGAGAGACTTAACTCTATACTCACATGCATGTGTTCCGTACAACATCAGATCACTTTAAGGTAACCCACATTCAAGAACATGTACTACATCTGCATGATCTAACTATGCTTAACTCAGAGAGTCTTAACTCTACTCACATGAGTTCTGTACAACATCAGATCACTTTAAGGTGCTCCACATTCAAGAACATGTACTACATCTGCATGAAATAACTATGCTTAACTCAGAGAGTCTTAACTCTACTCACATGAGTTCTGTACAACATCAGATCACTTTAAGGTAACCCACATTCAAGAACATGTATACTATCTCTGTATGATAAAACTCAAACTTACATACATTATAGCAGCATAGGCAGCAACAAGCTTCCTGGAAAATATATGTTTGTTTTTTCTCATACAAGCTGTAGTTATAAAGTGTACAACTTTATATAAATTATACAAGCATTACCTAATTTGGTTTCAGTCAGAACGTGGGCCGGGCTCCACAGAAGCCATCTGTAAATGCCGATAAATTTTAAATTTATTCAAATCCTATTATATTTGTGAATAAACTTGTCACTTAATTAGTAACGGAACACACTTCAGTTTACGATAAAACGTCATGACGTGAGAGAAATCATTTTTATGAACGTTTGTCATTATGACGTACAAGTGTGATATGAAATTAATTTGAACGACGTTGCGCGCTGAACTATATGTATAAACTGAACTAATATTTTCTGTGGATTGTTTTTACATCACATTACGTACATTGCATTATTTTTTAGCTCACTTCCCATTGGGGCTTTTCAGTGACCAATTACATCAAGTATTACGCTCATGTTACTTACTTACACGGCTAAAATCAATCGGGTTGTTGCAATATTGATGTAAACAGGATTGAACAATGCTGTGCTGCCCACACTGTTCACAGTTGTCAACAATGTTGAACAATATTGTTACACCCGATTCAGGCTCAACAACATTGTTCAATATTGTTGACAAGTGTCAGTGAACAATGTGGGCAGCACAACAATATTGTTCAATCCTGTTAAACAGCGGGCTCATAATTTTTACGCGTGTAGCCTAGACTATTTTATCTTTGCAACAATTGTGATATTACTTTCCTAACTTCTAACCCACCCTGTCAACTTTCCCTGTGGGAGCCTGGGAGGAAACCAGAGGTGACCCGGAGAAAACACACGACATTCGGAAGAGCGTTGACTGAATCTTTTCACATGAGTCCCTAGCGAGAATACACGGTCTCAGAGTTGACAAGTGCTTGCTCTCATGACTGCTCCACCGAAAAGTGTTCAAAACCTAAAATCTTTTTGGCTTTCCTCTTAAAATTAATCTGTTTTACTGTAGCTTTATTTTTTGTAGTTTACGCAGTTAGCAATCTTTTTAAATGTATCGGTTGAGAAACACAAAATGATAGTTAAATATTGTCAATTTAAATACAATTATCATTGATGCTGTAAAATTGACGCCATATTTATACAGCAATATAAGCGAAACGTACTGAACTTCAGACGTTATTTTCTCTTTGACGTACCATCTAAAATCTCTTCATTTTAGCATTGTTTTACAGATAAAGCACTTTTTAAGTTTATTTGCCGATTGAGAAACGTGATCGAAAAACAACAAATTTGAATGTTCAGACAGTACAGTAGTCAACTGCAACTAGTATATTATAATTATACTCATTAATGTTGAGCGAGTGTTACGTAACATACAGTACAGCCAGTATACACTGAATACAGCCAGTGAGCTCTATAGTAACTGGAGGCATATACAAGTTAACAAGGATATGGCCAAACCAGATCAGTGCAAAAACCAGTATATGTGCATGCACTTTACCAATGATTGTCATTCTCCTAGTATGTATAGGCGAATTTGTAGTAAGAAAACTGCCTGGAGAAATATATCAGGATTTGGGGAATTTGTATAGATGGAATTTTAGAGTGGAATTGTCGAGCTCTAACCAACTGAGCTACAGAGAGAAAGTTGTCGAGCTCTAACCAACTGAGCTACAGAGAGACAGTTGTGGAGCTCTAACCAACTGAGCTATAGAAAGACAGTTATCGAGCTCTAACCGAGCTACAGAGAAACAATTGTCGAGCTCTAACCAACTGAGCTACAGAGAGACAGTTGTGGAGCTCTAACCAACTGAGCTACAGAGAGACAGTTGTCGAGCTCTAACCAACTGAGCTACAGAGAGACAGTTGTCGAGCTCTAACCAACTGAGCTACAGAGAGACAGTTGTCGAGCTCTAACCAACTGAGCTACAGAGCTACAGACAGTTGTCGAGCTCTAACCAACTGAGCTATAGAGAGACAGTTGTCGAGCTCTAACCAACTGAGCTACAGAGAGACAGTTGTCGAGCTCTAACCAACTGAGCTACAGAGAGACAGTTGTCGAGCTCTAACCGACTGAGCTACAGAGAGACAGTTGTCGAGCTCTAACCAACTGAGCTACAGAGAGACAGTTGTCGAGCTCTAACCGACTGAGCTACAGAGAGACAGTAGTCGAGCTCTAACCAACTGAGCTATACAGAGGCCAGTTGTCGAGGCCTGAGCACAAGTTCATGTATAAATACTAAGGTGATATGCCAATGTATACGGTGTGTTGGTAAATATGAGGATTCTGAAATTCCCCACCAATTCAAAACTATTGTATAGCTTATAGCAACAACATAATAATTGTAAACAGAGCGAAGTTTATACCAGTGAATCCCACTGGGAAAAATGTGAAATCCATACTATGATATTTGCAATTGCACCACTAAATCCACAGTGTATTCATTCGATACTATATCCATAGCATGGAAATATACAATTATTATGGATAGTCAAAAATCCATTCTATTTCCAATAAAGGTCCATACAATTTCCATTCTATGGATTTTCAAAATGTTTTCCGGTGTCCCATCCTAACTATATGTCCATTAATCAATGATGTACTTACTATTATATTTGCGTTAACAACACGAGCTCTTGTTTCCACGAAAGCCAGCCATGAACTGATCTTACAGCTGTAGAAATCTCCAATAAAATCTTTCATTTGCAGAGAGTATAAAGTTGCTAATTATCCAGATGGCAACGTATTTTCATTTAATATCTCACCCCTATCGTGATATAGTCACAGTAGGGTGTTTGACTATGTTGGGTCAGGGTGATAATGTTGGAAAATAGCCCAAATATGTAACTATAATGTGGTTAAATTAATTGCGACATGTTATTTTTTCAATATCTCACCTACGAAATCTTGCTGTAATTAGAATGAATTGAGATCCGAGAATCGTACATATATTAGTACTATATATACATGAAGTGTACATTTCATAAAATTGTCTCATTTCCATGTGGGTAATTGAATTTGATGTCTTGATGTGAAATAAATTTAAGATGTGTCAAGCAAGTTTTCTATTACAAGTTTTCAAATGACAAGTTTTGTTAGCGAAGCAACTTTGCAAAATTTGTAACCGGTTTCACGCACAGAAATTTTAGTTAAATTTGTGAATGAAATTTTTCCAACATGCGGTTAGAACATCTATAGGTTGTGGACAGATGCTCATTTACAGCACTTATGAAGAATAAGAACTAAGATGTATTTTATATAAATTCAGACAGCATACTTATTTCTCAATATTTTTCCCTAATAGTTTTGTTTGTCCTTATCAGCGTTTTTAAATTTGTTTGTTGTTATATGTTTATATAAAACATATGTATAATCCAATGCTCTGTTAGTTTAATTAATTTCTTAAACAAACGTGGTCCCCTATTGATTCAAACAGAGACACTTGCTATCCTATAGAGGCTATCCAGTGTTTTAAACAGCATGAGCCCACAGTTCTTTTACGTCTGTTGTCTGTTTTCAGACCTCACATGTAGCCTAAGTAACGAGTGAGAATAAAAGTTCATATACAGTATTTATATGCCAAGTTCGTGAAAAACTGCAAAGTCACGCGAAATTATTACATCACGCTTAGAAATCACGCGATTTTGCATGGGTAGCAAAAATGGATGGCAGAGGAACTGCATAATTCGCAAAAAATCGCCTTTCCACCTGAATTTGTATTAAGCATGTTAAATCAAAGGCCGCCGAGGCCGACTCACGGATAAGATCAAATGAAAGTAACAGAAAGAATTAGAGCAGTTTGCATGCAGTTGTTTTTGCAAATCGGGCACCGTGCGAATTTTGCCATTTCACCCATTTGTCGTGCTTCTTTTGGCAAATCAAAAGAACGAACGCGTGCTCCAGCCCGATTTCTGGTTCTGAAGGGCCCGATTCGCAGGCAGACAGTGCGCGCAAAGCAGGCTGGTCATTTCCCATTGTTCAACTGCCCCACACTCACCCCACAATCATGCATGAAGTAACCACAAAGTCTCACAGTCCGCGTGAGTAAAAAATGATCCACTGAAGTTCTGCATGCCTACGAAATTCTATAGCTTTATAAGAGGAGAATCTTTTGTATGTTAGGTAGCACGCGCTCAAAACTATTCGAAATATATATTTTCCACTTGTGATTATGCATAACTATGTCCAATTTTTTAAAATATTTAAAACGTTTCTCAAGCTTCAAACAAACTTATGAAAAGTATGTTCGGTGTTTTACTTGTAAAATTATTCTAAAATGAGAAGATTTTAGATAGTATACGCCACAGAAAACGATGTCTGAAGTTCAGTATATATAAGTTTTGCTTATATTGCTGTATAAATATGGCGTCAATTTTACAGCATCAATAATAATTAGTATATTTAAATTGACAATATTTGACTATGAGAAGTACACTCAACCGCCAGATACATTTAAAAAGGTTGCTAACTGTGTAAACTACAAAATATAAAGCTAAAACAAGGTAATTTTTTGAGAGGAACGTTAAAAGATTTTAGGTTTTGAACACTTTTCATCGCAAATACGCGACATTCAAAATAATTGCCTATTGAACTCTCAGAGTTCATTCTTTTCTCACGGCGGAAATTTCCGGTTGCTCGTGATCTATAGACCCTTTGCACATGACGTCACAGGGCCGGTGACGATGCATCTGGAGGACAAATTAGCAATCTATGCATAATATAACTTTTGTAAACAAAGCAAATTTTGAAAAAGTTTATAATAATTTTGTATTAAAATGGTTCATTTTTGGGCTGTATGTGGTTGTTGTACCCGAACAGATATTGTTAGCGAGCATCTGGAGGACACTCTAAGGATTTGTGACGTCAGTGCAATGGGTCTATTGCACCGCCTAAAAGTGGAATACATGTACATGTGTGTTTTACAAGCGACATGCAGGCATGCATGCATGCATGTATATTAGTTAATTGATAATGAAGGCATTTATAGCTTTACTATATACCTAATTTCGTATTTATATACTGCATGATAAAAGACTAACAATGAATTATTTAAGTTGTCATTATAACAGATTGACAAGGGGATAATGATCTCGTCTGACGACTCTGACAATCGTCTGCTGTTAGACAGAGTATAATACTAAAGTCAACATCATTCATCAGTCATATCATCATCGATATACGGTCGAGAGAAAATGAAAAAGATAGTTTTTAATTAAATGAACTTGTGGTTAGAGCTCGACAACTGGTCTCTGCAGCTCAGTTGGTTAGAGCTCGACAACTGTCTCTCTGTAGCTCAGTTGGTTAGAGCTCGACAACTGTCTCTCTGTAGCTCAGTTGGTTAGAGCTCGACAACTGTCTCTCTGTAGCTCAGTTGGTTAGAGCTCGACAACTGTCTCTCTGTAGCTCAGTTGGTTAGAGCTCGACAACTGTCTCTCTGTAGCTCAGTTGGTTAGAGCTCGACAACTGTCTCTCTGTAGCTCAGTTGGTTAGAGCTCGACAACTGTCTCTCTGTAGCTCAGTTGGTTAGAGCTCGACAACTGTCTCTCTGTAGCTCAGTTGGTTAGAGCTCGACAGCTGTCTCTCTGTAGCTCAGTTGGTTAGAGCTCGACAACTGTCTCTCTGTAGCTCAGTTGGTTAGAGCTCGACAGCTGTCTCCCTGTAGCTCAGTTGGTTAGAGCTCGACAACTGTCTCTCTGTAGCTCAGTTGGTTAGAGCTCGACAACTGTCTCTCTGTAGCTCAGTTGGTTAGAGCTCGACAACTGTCTCTCTGTAGCTCAGTTGGTTAGAGCTCGACAACTGTCTCTCTGTAGCTCAGTTGGTTAGAGCTCGACAACTGTCTCTCTGTAGCTCAGTTGGTTAGAGCTCGACAACTGTCTCTCTGTAGCTCAGTTGGTTAGAGCTCGACAACTGTCTCTCTGTAGCTCAGTTGGTTAGAGCTCGACAACTGTCTCTCTGTAGCTCAGTTGGTTAGAGCTCGACAACTGTCTCTCTGTAGCTCAGTTGGTTAGAGCTCGACAACTGTCTCTCTGTAGCTCAGTTGGTTAGAGCTCGACAACTGTCTCTCTGTAGCTCAGTTGGTTAGAGCTCGACAACTGTCTCTCTGTAGCTCAGTTGGTTAGAGCTCGACAACCGTCTCTCTGTAGCTCAGTTGGTTAGAGCTCGACAACTGTCTCTCTGTAGCTCAGTTGGTTAGAGCTCGACAACTGTCTCTCTGTAGCTCAGTTGGTTAAAGCTGGACAACCGTCTCTCTGTAGCTCAGTTGGTTAGAGCTCGACAACTGTCTCTCTGTAGCTCAGTTGGTTAGAGCTCGACAACTATCTCTCTGTAGCTCAGTTGGTTAGAGCTCGTCAACTGTCTCTCTGTAGCTCAGTTGGTTAGAGCTCGTCAACTGTCTCTCTGTAGCTCAGTTGGTTAGAGCTTGACAACTGTCTCTCTGTAGCTCAGTTGGTTAGAGCTCGACAACTGTCTCTCTGTAGCTCAGTTGGTTAGAGCTCGACAACTGTCTCTCTGTACCTCAGTTGGTTAGAGCTCGACAACTGTCTCTCTGTACCTCAGTTGGTTAGAGCTCGACAACTGTCTCTCTGGAGCTCAGTTGGTTAGAGCTCGACAACTGTCTCTCTGTACCTCAGTTGGTTAGAGCTCGACAACTGTCTCTCTGGAGCTCAGTTGGTTAGAGCTCGACAACTGTCTCTCTGGAGCTCAGTTGGTTAGAGCTCGACAACTGTCTCTCTGTAGCTCAGTTGGTTAGAGCTCGTCAACTGTCTCTCTGGAGCTCAGTTGGTTAGAGCGCTGCACCGGAATCGCAGGGCCGTAGGCTCGATTCCTTACAGCTGAGAGCTGGGCCCCTTACATCGTATAGGCCGCTCAAATTAATGAAAATTGAAAAAAAAATATATCACGGTTTATACTCTATACAAAAGCAACCTCGCTATAAGTGTTCAAGAATTGCTCGAATGTTCAAGAGTTACTACATTTTAAAGCAATATATTTCAAGAGCAACTTTACTTGAACGTGAACAAGGTAGATATAATTAGAGAATATATATGCAGACAGTAATGAGATGGAACCCGCTTTTGTACTTTTGATTCTCATGTAAGAATAACACAAAGTCAAAGAGGTATATACTATATACTATATTGGGAAGAGGTTATTACAATCTGTAGTGTATAGGTTGTCATACAACCCCCTACTGTTTTTCATGGGCATAATGCCAGTCATTTATCCACGACTCTCTATCGAAATACCTATCCGACGATCTTCAAAAACGTCAAAAGCGTGCTTGTAGAATAATATTACCAGATCGTTGGTATAATGAAGCCCTGGATCAATAGGAGACCACTACCGGTCCTTGGCTGCCAGAAGACAGAATTTAACTGTAACAAACTTTTTTAAAATATAGCAAACGACTACATGACTTATTGCCTCCAGTGAACTCTTCAGCAATATCCCTGCGAGGAAGAATAATGTTTCAAATTCCTAATTTTAAGACAAATAGATTTAAGAATGATTTTATAAATTGTAATGCCTAATGGATGTAAATACGCGTAATTGAATCGAACTATTCAATTTTTTGAATATGGTTATACCGGTATAGTCGATCTAACTTTTAACTACTTGTACAACTTAACATTCTTCAGCCGACGTGCAAGGCCTTACGCTGCGAGTCTTTTAGGTTTAATAAATCTATCTATCTATTACAGTGCATATTGCATTCAAACTTATACTATAATAATAAAATTCTCTCCCTACATCAACTTGGGTCAAATATTCCCTCTCCCAAGATACATCTTGCATTCGCAAATCTACCCCAGGGCCCCCTATACTATAGATGTCGCTCATTTGGTCGGTTCTTTTTGAAGACCCATGCAAGCAAGCCCCTGAGAGAAAGCTTCTTTACTGAATAGCTTAGAACTGAACTGAACTGAAGAAAATAATATTTAGTATCGAAGCAACAAAACCCTCAAAACTATCCTTCACAACTTGTCAAAGTAAATATAAAAATATTTCTTTATAAACATTGGGACATTTTCAAGTACTTTATTATTAAACTATATATAGTTGTCACTCAGCAAATTTCATTACGGCAACTACATCAACGCTATCTCACCATCCCACTGCCAAAACTAATATTTATTTACCTGTAAGTTTACAAGTCACAACACGTATTTAGTTTTATACTGCAATTAACAGAGTTTATACAAAATGATTATGTTTTATGAAATTATTCACTAATTTTGTAAAAATAATGGATGTGTCATATTATGTACACTTTAACTTAAAGTGGCTTTGCAACGCTAAAGTTAACATACTATAGAAACTTGTGTATGGGCAAATATCTCACTCGATATATAACTAATTATTGAACAGATTTGTAGATGGGAATTTTTATGTAGATGGGAATTTTTATGTAGAGTGAATTTTTATACATTTATTAGAATTAGCCAGGAACAGTTGCGAAAAATGCAACCATACATCGACCCTCTGGCAGCAAGTAAAGACGATTATAGCATGCGCACACCCTTTTATTGAGACTTTGCGAGAGTCAAATTGAAATCAAAAGATAACCTACTGTTATAGTTGCCTGAGCATGCATGCCTCGTATAGCTATGACGTCAATATTAAATGCCTATCAGATGCTATCTGGTCGAAATACGCATGCACCTTCATGACGACGATATTGTAATTCTTAATTCACTACCCACTTTCGTCATAGTTTCCCAAGGTTAACGTCTTAATGAAGTGACTTTTGAAACAAATACGAGCGATATAAGTTTTATATTACAACGTTACGTATCATTTTCAAGTTTGAAATGCTGAGCAAAAATGAGCTTTGTAATTTGCCAATCTTTGCATAACACACAATCGGACTTGATTCGTTCAAAACTAGCATTTGTTAATATTTGGTATCTGTTATATCTGTTTTTTATATGACATGTGTTTTGAATTGTTGAACTTTTATAGTATTTAAAGTATAATATATTTTAATCGCACTTAGAATTTTTCATTATTTTGCAATTTAAAATTTGCATGCTTATACGGCACAATAGTTTTCCAACGTGTCACAAAGAATCTTTTACCAGAGCAGACAGTACCCAAAAATAGCGGATTTTGCCTTCGTGAGAAAAGCTAATTATGTAAATTAGCCTAATAGACAATTCCCATGCATTATAGACTAATTTTAAAACTAAACAAAGAGATGCAAATAAATCACCATAATTAGAAAGAGCGTGCTAAAATTAGTAAAATTGCAAAGTTTGGTTGCGAAATGTTGTAAAATGCGGAAAATATAGCCTTGCAAAATTTGTATACTTTTGTATATATTGCGTGCGGAAATTGCTACCATTTTCGGCCCAAATGTGGTAACAATTTCCGCATGCAATGCATGTAAAAGTATACAAAATTTGCAAACTTTGCAAGGCTATATTTTCCGCATTTTACAACATTTCGCAACCAAACTTTCCAATTTTACTCATTTTAGCACGCTCTTTCAAGCTGTGATGAAATTTTTGTCTAGATAAAAATTTAGTCTATAATGCAAATGGTCCACTAGTTATATCATCTGTCTCAATCGGAAATCCTTTTCATCTCTTATATATAAAAACTTATAACAAGGTCACATATATTTATAGTGTTTTTTTTACCGAGTTTTTAAAGTTAGTTTCGTCGCGAGCGGTCCATCTATAATTATAGCGGTCCATATTATATGAAGTCAGTTGGCGGTCCGTATAATGCAAGTTACCGACCGCTGGAACCAATCAAAATGCTGCATTTTGCAGATGGACAGCCTCTTTCAAAGGGTATGCAGATGCAATATTTAAAATGAATATATTAGGTTTATTATATGCTATCTCTATTACTGCTATGACACTTGATTTAAAATGCTTATATAGATATTAAGAATTTTTAATAAATAAACAGCGGCCATAACTCAAGTGAAAAATATTGGACTCATTTCAAAATTCAAAACAACAACATTTCCCCTGCACACGAAACATGAAATATATGTTACGCATTTCAGTTCCCGTTTTTGCAGTGTATTTGGTCAACTCTGCGATATCAAAGTTTCCGTCATCGTGCAAACATTTCTTCAGAATTTACCCATACGAAATTCCTACTGTGATCAGAGAAACTTTAATAGCGTAAACCAGCCTTGCTAATTGAGATTTGTCCATTAAATCAATTATTACGTTGTGATTAGCTGATCCGCTGTACATCAGTATATTATTGCATGGTTGTTTATTATATGCATGCAGTCACTGTTTACATATATTATGATGATGGCAAAGTTAACAGATATTTTTTCTAATCACGCTCGAGTCAACTTGTACAGTTGAGTTCGCCAGTGGAAGAGAAATCATGTTGGACATCTTGCCTTCGTATATTTCTCTGAGGATGTAATTAGAATATATACTGATTTACGCCTGTATTCCAAAAGCTCGCTCACACTCACACTAAATGAGTGGAGGTTCAATCTGCGCTTCTCTTGAGTGTCAATGCTGTTTTCGAATAGCTGAAGGGTTAGTGTCGTACCTTACTATGTGACTACTCACCCTCCTGCTATTCAAAAACAGCATTGACACTCAAGAGAAGCTCAGATTGAACCTCCACTCATGCAGTGAGTGTGAGTGAGCTTTTAGAACACAGCCTGTTACAGGCGTTAGACTAGTTTAGTACAACTACCTGAAGTGCTTAAGGAGAAACTTCATCTTCATATTTATACCCATTCCTTAACGGGAATGGTTACTTCGCTGACCGCAGAATGACAGTCGTCAAAACTTTGTTCTTCAAGATTGGTTTAGAAACAAACTTGGAGTAATGTTTGGAATAGAGTTAGTGTTAGTAAAACCGTTGCTTTTGTTACCTTTTTGTCACTCTGAGGCCAGCGAAATAATCTCTTCCTATAATGCAACATGGCAGTATACCCTATAGTATTTATACACACGCGAACTTGTGGTTAGATCCTAGCTCGACAACTGGGACTCTGTAGCTCAGTTGGTAAAATGTTGGTTAGAGCGCTGCACCGGAATTACGGGACCGCATGCATGTTCGATTCCTGCCAGGGGATGTATATATAGTTGTATTTTTCGCAGCTGTTCCTGGTTAATTCTAATAAATGTGTATATAACATTTACACTCGATAATTTAAATCTACAAAATCCTTCAATTGTTATTGTCACTATCTATATATATATATACACTGAGGCCGTTCTGACTTAGTGCATGCAAGTCTTTCACACAAACCTTTGTTAAATTAGAATTGTCTTCACTTTCATTCCACTCTTGCTTCTAGATACATTTATACTCTCTTCTTTCACATGTAAGGCTCTTGCATATGCGTCTTCACAGCATGTATATATTGAACTCCAAGTAAGCCTCGTGTTGCTTTCGTGTCAGTGAGATACTGATCTCATCTCGAGTGTGATGTTCTACTTATACCCACCTTCCTACAAACCAACCTACGTAAACATACTTATGTCTCCATGGCTTGCAAATGCTCGGCCAGATGCCTTTCCCATGCAGCCGACAAGTGCATGGTTCAGTAATGGACTCTGTACTCTGATAAACTGGATCTCAGAACTGGAACACTATATAGACTGGATTCATATTGTTTCTGGTTTCATATTGTTGAAATTTTCTTCTAAACCTTTTCTGGTAGTATATATTACACTCGATATAGAATCTGAAACTCTAAGAAACGACTGGAATATTATAGACCTGGAACATTATAGACTGGATTCATATTGTTTCTGATTTCATATTGTTGAAATTTTCCTCTAAACCTTTTATGCCAGTATATATCACACTCTATATAGAATATGATATTAACTTAATATGTAC